ATATCTGGGTTCCTCTAAGATAAACTTTTATAATTCATCTAGCATATCTAAACCCATGAGGGAAAAAAAAAGACTCTTTGTAATTTGCAGACAGAGTTCTAAATGTTGGTAAACGTTCTCTATGAATGCAGGATCATTTCCTTTGAGCACTGACATTGCCAGCCTGCCGATGGTTCAGCACGGTAGGCCTACTCTGTCCAGACACTGGCTTCTCCACAGTCCTTTCCTGTCCTCCCCCATGTCACACAGACTCCCTGCGGTGCCCGCACTGCGACTGTGAAGGAGGCATTACTTGTGCTCTCCAAATCTACTTCACATGCTTGCAGTATATTCCTCTTGACAAACTGATTAATTTAGAAATATGCAGAATCAGTGTCATAAGCCAAAAGAAACTCGGCAAGCCTGTGTGTTAGTGATGTTTAAATTAGACAAGGTAAAAGACTGTTCAGCTTACTTCTAATGTCAACTACATTGAACTTAGTACTTTTTTTTTTTTTAAAAGATTTATTTATTTATACATACAGAACCTGGGTACAGGTCACAGGTGCAGGGGCAGTGAGAGACTGCACCAGAAACAAGAGTGGGGAGCAGGACAGGCCAACTGACGAAGTCCACTTCTGAGGGTAGCAGCAGGCGGGTCAGGAGAGGTCTGCTGCACCCTATGGGTCACCTCTGGGGCAGGGATCAAACTCGTGCGGAAGTGGCTTCAGCTTCTTAGTGCTGTGCTCTAACCCGCTGCACCACCAGGGAGGGCCCAGTACTTCTTTTTTTATAAAAAGGCATTTTCTTGAAAATGTTTCCATAAAAGGCAAAATGAAATGTATTTCATCATTTCTATCACTGTTATATGTGTAGGCCTTGGCAGGCTCTGGGTAATGCTGGGAATGTCTGATGATTGGTTTATTAGAGCATTATGATATATCTGTATCTACTAGATTATCAATACCCAAAACTCTTAATACTCTATTGTTTCTCTTGCTGAATCCACTCAAAGAAAAACTTAAAAAAAAATCCATATCCAAATGAATTCAGAGCAAAGAAGTTGAAAAAGAGAATTTCAATCGAGTAATCCAGAGAAATGTGCTGAGAGCCAGGAATAGAGGCACAGAGAGGCAAGCATTTTTTTTGTCTTCTTAATGCTTGTATTTAGAGACAGAAGTAATTTTTTATGTTGTGGCTTAGCTTAATTTTGCATTTTCTCCTTAAAATATATGTAAATGGATAGTACCTTTACTTTTCTGCTGATGAACTATCTGTGCTGGACAGAGAAAAAAAAGTGAAATAAAGAACTACTTGTCAATAAAAATAACTGCTCTGCTTAAATTTTTTGTCTTCCTATTTTCTATCTCAAAATGCGATCTTAGCCGCTTCAGTTCCGTATATCCTAGAAGCTGTTAACAAGGCAGATTAATCGCCTTTTATTTTTGGACTCTGTCCTCCCCCACTGCCTTTCACTGCGGTGGGTTATGCGCTCCTCAAGCATGTGGCACAGGCCCCAAGCTTGGGAAGCACTGTGCTATTGCACCCCGGCTTGCAGGCCCTCACAGTCCTTCCAGTTGCCAGTACAGCCTTGCATGTGTGGCCCTTATGTCAACAGGAGATACCATCAGCCATTGTTTTGCACCTTGCTTTGTTAACCTGCCAGTTTAATGCCATCACATAGAGACGGAATCTAAATGAAGCCCCCTTTAAAAAGCATCGCTGCGTTTAGCAAACCACTGCACAAATACACCATCATTTCTTCAACCAGTTCTCTGGTGAAGGACATTTAGGCAAATCGTCATCATCTCCATGGTGAGGCACTATCAGTAATTCTTGCCTACACAGCAGATAAGCTATTATCAGTTGAATTTTAGCCTGGTGTAATAGAAAATATTAGCTCCAAAGTGTCAAAGAATTAATATATATAATTTCTTTAGCAAAAACCAGAAAGTCAACAAAATAGTCTGTCTACATTTATTTAGAAAGAAATAAATGCCATATTAATTCTTACAATAAGGTTGAAGCAAATAAACCAACAAAAAGTTAAATCTCAATTATTAATTATTTACAGGCAAAGAAAACTACCAACCAATTGACAACTATAACTTTACTCTTCAGACAACTTTAAAATCGGTCCTACAGAAAACTCAGAAAGAACTCAGCATGGATTTTTGGTTTTCAAATGAAAAGAAAAACCCTTAAAAGGGGGGCAGTCAGCGTGATGCGCCTGACTGGAAAGCAATCACTGTGGGGCTAACGTGACAGGGCCTCCCACTCAGAGGCACCCTCTGAAAGAGACCGCTCCTGCGCCGCCGCAGCACGCGAGCTGCTGGTCTTCCCGCTGCTCCTATTTGAGTGTCCTCCTAGCTCGACGTTTCCTCCAACTTCCCAACGAAGGGTGAGCCTAGTTCTGGTGCTAAGGTGAGCAAAATAGGAAGAAAGATAAAGAACAAAAATAAAAAAGCAACACCGACTTTTAAAACACAGCTTTGGGAGAACACTCTGTCACCCCGAGGGTGGCGTGGGGCACTGAAGTGGGCATCCTTATCACTTCAGCTGCAGTGATGCTGCTGGCCCCAGGCCGAATTCCTTTTCCTGGGAACCCAGTGGCCGCCTAGGCCTGGCCTCGGCCCTGAAGTCCAGGGTGGGGATTTAGCCTCACTGGCTGTGAGGCGATGATCTGGCAGGCACTGCTGTGTGTCAAATCCAAAAGGTGAAAATCCCTTATTTAATGGAAGCAAAACTGCCGCACGCAGGGCTAGTATTTAGCCCCAAATGTGTCACTGCTCTGTCGCAGACGTGCTGGAATATCCTGACAACCCTCGCCCTGATAGCCAACTGTTAGCTGCGACCGAAGTTTATTAAATCTGTGGGCAAAAGCCCCTGTTCACCCCCCTGGCCCCTGATCACCAGCCTAAGCAGTTCTATTAAGCGGGAGCACACCAATTTTGTGTTCTTCTCCATCTGATCTGAGCTGTGAATCATGGAGAGGTGATGCCTTTTGGGAAGACTGCCAAGCGCCGAGCTCGAAGTGTTGCTTCAGCGCCGTCTCTGAAAGAGTGTTGTTCCATGACAGCCCGCAGCTGCATGCTGCCATGAGCAGGGGAAAAGGTACTTGCTCGGTATCAGAAGAGAAGGAAAGACAAATGCAAGGCACACTGATTAAATCACGGAGTGATATTTACTGAATAGAGCAGTAAAATAATTTTAGCTATTTCTTTCCATTTTCTGAAAAGTATGGTTACTAGAAAATTAAAACTCACACCTGTCACCGTCACGGCATTTGTACTGCACGGTGCTGCCGCAAGCCGTTCAGCTGAAGGCAGCCAGAGAGCCGTGTCTGGAGAAGTCTGCTTACGTCTCTAGCTATCCCCAGGAGTGTATCCGAAACTGGCCTTCTTCACGGGACGCCAACAGGCGGGGAAGCAGTGCTAGATGCAGGCTTGGGCACTGCAGTCCCCAAAGGGGTTTCTACTTAGGCAAACGCCCCCCGTGATGCTGAGGGCACGGGGAAGGATACCCGTCAGTGGCTAAGTGATGCCTTATAGATTAGTTACAAACTGCAAAGATACTTTAACAAATGATCGACTTAGCATGTGCCGTCTAGGTGCTTTATGATGCGATTGTATGAGATGAACATTAGTAACAATTCACATTGCCCCAGTGTTTCATTAAGAAAATTTTCAAACACAGAGCCGCAATAAAACAGTAAGTGTTTTGTTCTATTAAGACTGAGATTAAGATCCATGAAAAAAACTGGATAGTGAAAACCCACTCACACCCCCTTTTACTGAAGCAGACCGTACCACACACCCACGCATCTCCTGGTCTCCATGTCAATTCTAGACTGGCTTCCTTGGGTGATCTCTAAGTATCTTGCCAAAAATGTCTAACCTGAGTCTAGTTGCTTCTGTCTTAACTTCCGGTTCACAGGAAATACAGGAGCTACAAAGGAGTAAGCTAATCAATACTAGCATATGTAACTTTGTACTTTTAGTCACTTATTTTCTATAGATTAAGCAAAATGCTAGTAATGCTTCTAATAAGACAGTCAACAGGGTTCATCGTGCTGGTCTTTCAACTTTTCTGTATGTCATAAACATTTCAAAATAGAAACTGAGAGGCAGAGTAGATAAAAACGATCATTTCATGGCGGTTGAGCTGCTCTGTTGTTTTGTCCTGTTTAGACTAAGACCCATGAAAAAAAACTTGCTCCCCCACCCCACATCAAAAATATATCTCTATAGCATTTTTATTTCCACCTCTTGTGCAATGATACTATTAGGCAAGCGTCTCTAGCATGCAGTATTTCAACGAATGCCTTCGCCTGTCAGCATAGGCGCGCGGGCTGTAGTATTCTAGAAGTTCAACCTGAGGCCAGGCTCATGGCCCCAGCTGGCACAACAGCTAGACAGAGACAGCTGCCACACAGGGTCACATGGCACCTGTGGCCCCTTGCTGCAGGCAGTCTGCAGCAGACCTTGCCTGCTCCTGGCGGGTCTAGTCACAGAGGTTTCTGATTTTTCCCTTAAGTTTTCATCCTACCTCCAACCAACTGCTGCTCATGGAAGTTATCAGAGTAGCTAGACCCTAAAGCCCCCAAACACATTCATCACTCAGGTAAACAGTTCAGAAACAAAATCGTTAGCAGAGATCACTGGATATGGTACAGCATGAACTAAGTCAGAAATATTAACTTTAAAAATAAGATTTACCAAAAAGACTGGCTGTGGAGTCTTACGTGCATGCCTGAAACTGAGGACAGGAAAACCAGTCTGACCTGCAAGCTTTCTTCTGATCACACACCTGGAAAGAGAGCACCTCGGAGGAAGGGGTGAACGTGACTGGTGGATAGTAGACACTAAACTGAAAATATCACTACCAGGGCTTATGTTTTAGAGCCAAGAGTGTTCTCTAGGAATCAAGTATGAAACAGGAGGTCAACACATGGATTCAATCCGCTATTAACTACATCTGTATTGTTTCAGACGCAATTAAAAAAAGGCAATGAGACTTACCCGGGTTTGTCTTCTCAAGCTGATACCATCGATAAAATGCCCTTTTCTTCTGTTCACTGAGGTCTGATCCCTGCTGCAACAGCCAGTGAGAGATCCGGCTCTGGCTGATACCTATGTGGAAAGAGATGTAATTGTTGGGGGTGCCGAAATCATAGGGAGGCTAATGAGTGTTCTTCCTGGTTCTAGGGAACAGGGTGCTCTATTCTGTATTCCTCTGTAAGGGATCTGCAACTTGAGCAAACTCTTTGTTTCAGGCTTCTTTGTCAAGACTGACTGCATTGGCGGGTTCCTCTCAACCAAGACTTGACTGGGGGGGGAGTGTCTCTAAGATTAACCTCTAAACCAGGTCCAGGAATGTGAGATAAACGAAGAAATTTCAAAGTAATCGTTAATTATCAGAATTTGATTAAATTTGCGCTTCCCCACCACACCTCCATCCTGCCGATGGCTTAGAATACTGGAAGTCTAACAAATATTCAAAGAGAAACAATCAACCCAATATATTTTGCTACTTACTATTGACACTGACTCAGAGATTTGGGAGAGGTCACTGAGAATACTCCAATAAGGTCTCTGGATTATTTGTTAATTCACTTAGGCATTTTTGGATTCATCACCATTAGTACAGACACCTGAAAGACTTTTAGAGTTATGCTGCAATATGACTTCAAGAAATTTCAAGATAGATGTTTTCCCAACACATACCTATCAAAAAGCTGCACAGAAGTATAAAGCAGTGGTTTTCAACTATCAGTCAGAAGTTCTTGATACCAATTAATGAGCAAAGTGAAGAACCACAGCATGGACAAGTGAAAAAGCAGGTCTAAAACTAGAATCACATGCTCCTTTCGGTCATTCTAGCTTTTTGACAGTTCAACATACAATTAGCAAAAGCAAAGGCAGTAAGAATGATGAAACTGCCTGTGCACCCTCCATGTGGCGCTTCCCAAAAGGCCACTTGGCCACCAGAGCAGGGAAGCACTGAGACTCTCCTCAGGAGTGACTCACAGTAACGGGCCAGGACGCCACCTGCGCCGCGCCGACCTGTGTGAAGCACACCCACTGGGACGGGTTCATAACTGCACCCCAACATGAGGGGTGGGAGGCGAGGGGCCACATTCAACCCATGAAACTGAACTGCTAGAGCTCCCTACACTTTAAAAACCTATGTTATGTTAAAAGAAAAGTGAAGGAAATGGAGAAGGGCGTATTGAAAGAAAGGTAATTGGGCTGTGAAGCAAGATTCTGACTGGAAAACCTTTTACTTCTAAAAGGATGAAATTCAAAATTTTCCCAACCCTAAGCGATTACATTCTGAAATAATTCACGCAGCAGTTTCCGATGGGCTGAGGCCTATGCACGCAGGTGCTGGCAGTTAGCACTGGCTGCTTGTTCTAAAAGAATGCAAATTATTCGGATAATTAAATTGTCTGTTTAGCAATACCTGCTACAGAAGTCTAGCTTCTGACATTATGCTATTTTTTAACTCTACTTTTAAACAAGAGTGAAGAAAATAACTATTTACCATGGGATCAGAATCTATTTTCATATCAACACAGTGATTCATATTTGTACTATACCATTCAAAACAAGAGAGAATTTGAGGCAACCTGTTAAGAAAAAAAGGAATATGGCCTCCCTGGTGGCCTGGGTTGGGGTAGCTGATCACTGTATAGCCTCAGTTCAATCCCCGGCCAGGGAGTGACCCACAGGATGCAGCAGCTCTCTCCTGTCTCCCAGCTGTTCCCGTCAGCAGTGGATTTCAGTAATTCCACCTGTTCTGCTCCCCACTCTGTCTCTGGCCAATATCCCAGTTCTATGCTCCCTCCCAAAAAATCCTAATAAAATTTTATCTAAAAGAAAAAAAAAGAATATATTGGTTCTATTACTTCAGTATTAGTTTTCTCCGACATGGCCAGATCACACAGAGAAGAAGCCACAGAGCTCAGCAGGCATTAACAGTTCCAGGTTCGGCTGGGCCGTAGCGGCAGCGGAGGGCAAAGCCCCTGCAGGAGACTAATTACCGCCTATCTGCATAGTAAGACACTAGGGAGACCTGTAACATCAGTGTTCTGGCACAGTCTTCAAAGACAAGCAACCAGCACAGAGCCCAGACAGAGAGCCGCCGGCACCAAGACTGGAAGGGCTCGGCCACGCAGGGCCACGCCGGGAAACCACAGCAGGCCCCTCGCTGGCACACGCGGCCCTGCCACCCGCAGGTTCTCCCCAGGAGGCCAGCCCGCGGTTGCGCGCACACCACACAACTACGTGCACAGGACCTGCGCAAGGTGGCGTTACTGGCCCTGGGAGACCCCAATTTAAAACCGCTGACAGGAGATACAACCCAGCAACAAGAGGAAACGGACAGGGGTGCCTAAGCACGCCACGCAGACCTGTACCCCACAGAAATGGGCTAACGGCTGTGACAGGCACCACGCAGCAACAGAGTAATGTTGGTCAGTAAAAGTCAGACACACACACGGTCACACACGCCTATGTCACTCCATTTACATGAAGTAAAAGTAACAGGCACAGCTCCTCTCTGCCAGGGGCCATCAGAATAGAGGCTTCTCTGGTTAGCGCGAGGCTGACTGCCGGGGGGTACTATGAAAAGGCTTACGGGGTGAAAACACAGTTCTCCATCTTGATCCAGCTACATGGTCACATGTGTGTCTTCACTCTGTAAAAGCCACTATGCTGGGTACTGTTTTGTGTTTGTTACATTGCAACAGTTTTTTTTTCTCAAAAAGTTTTCAAAATCATGAATGTTTTAAAAAGCAAAGCAAATGAATGTGTGTCAATGTGGAAAGATACCATGTACAGATGAGAAAGCACAGTTATATGAACACGTGTATCTTTAAGTCTGTTCTTTTTTGTGAAGTCAGATTCAGAAAGCAGACTCTTCCTACACAGTTTACTCTATATTCTTTCTACAAACGTGTATTCATTTATCTTATTTTTAGTCTTCCCCCATAAATACCCATCCTTTATGGGCTGTCTTATAAGCACTGTAATTAAGTCAAACAACAGAGAGGTACATGGTCAATGAGAGCATTCTCTCTCCCAACCCGCTCTTTGAGGTAAGCAATGTTCACATATATTTTATGTAATGCTCCGCTGGAACCACTAATTAAAGAAAATAAAAGGAGAAAAGTTAATAAAGAATATCCTCCAATTCAGTCTTTTTTGTGAGGAGGAAACAAGCAGAGTCCAATCTTCCTTATGGGTTTGATCTCAGTTTGCATACAGTTCACACAGAAAACAAAGTAGTAAAGCAGGTGGTTTCCAGATGAGGCACTGCCAAACACAGAGAGCGACTCCTTTTATTATGCTTTTCGCAATTACCAGCCTGCTGATGGGCTGCTGCTGTCAGGCTGCGGTCGGGCAGAGCAGGCGCCCAGTGCCCAAGCGCCTCTACCGCCAATCAGTGCCCTGTCGGGAGCGGGTCTTCCGAGGTGCCAGTTCTTCCCAATGCATGGGAAAGTCATTCTCCATAAACTCTGGCTCCTCCAAATCTCGTCTGTATCTTTCTTTCATGCGGTAGAAGGAAAAAATTACAGATAACCTTCATAAACGGACTGAAACAAACCTCTGATTCCTCCCTGTCAGCAAGCAACCACACTGTACCCAAAGGCTCAGAAAGCTTTCTGCCAGGGATATTCACATTCTTCTCTGAGCGTCGGCGAGCACCGGCTGTTCAGGCTCCTTGACAAAGAGCAGGCTCCCTTCCACTAGAGGGCTCTCCACCACAACCCATTTTTGTCAAAGTTCCTAATGCTACAATCTGTTGTGTCCCCCGGAAGGGACACCACTGACCAGCACATCCTCTCGCCCCCGAAACACAGGCCATAACCCTCCCGCGCTGCACTGCCAGTAGCTTCAGAGAGTGCTGGCAGCTCCTTGCAAGTTCGTGCCCTGGGTTCCAACTGAAGCCTCCTCTCTAGACGCTCTGCCTCTGCTCGTCTCAATTACCAGGACTCCTGACTGAAAACAGCACCTACATGGTGATTCCCAGGGCAGCAAACTGTTCCTTCAAACCACCTGCTAGACAGCCCCGTGAGAATGCCCACTGGTCAGCTCACCATAGTGAAAGTGAGGCCATTCTCCCCTCCCTGAAGCCCGGTCCTTGTCCTGTGGCCCCCTCGCAGTTCTATCTTCTTTCCTACGCTTTCACGTGTTCACTGAATCCAACTACCTCTTTCCATAAAATTTCTGTCCTGTTCTTTCTAACCTTCATTCCCACAGTTTGTAATCTCACCCTCTTTTGCCTGGATAACTGAAGTCATCTATGATCCACGAAGTACAAAATTGGCGTGGTCAGATCCTGTCTAATGAGGTCATCTGAGCTCATGTGGTGAAGCTAGGTAGGTGTTTTGAGCAATTTTCTGCTTGTGAACTGCAGGAGCCTCTACCTTTCTTTCACCTTGCATAGCGGAACCAGAGTGACATGGAAAAAAAAAATTAAAACACATACATCACTCTCCATATAAACAATTCACAAACATGCAGAGAAAAAAATCCTTTCATCCCCAACTCTTTTCTTATTGCCTACTGTAGACATGTCAGCTTCACTGGTACGATTCCTCCTATGAATCTTCCTACGCCTGTAATACATCACCATGCCTACTTCTATATCCAGTTTTCTAAACACACACTGGGAGTTATTCTAAAGTAATAAGCAAATCAATGTTTCTTACATCAGGTGTTAGAACTTTCTTGTGTAATATAAACCTTGCATGGTATCTATACCAAAATATACCATATTCCATTGAAATATTTACCTACCTAAGGGACATGTCAGTTATTTCTAATGCTTTCCTGTGACATATTAGGAGGGAATGAATACACATGTGTCTGTTTATGTGAATAACTACTGTAGAGTCCACTGACAGGAATGAAATTTCTGACCTGCAGCTTCTGAGCAGTACTGCAATTTGCGACAGACGCTATCAGTTTGTTCACAGTTTTATACTCTAATGGTGACAAGAATGTTTCCCTAAATTCTCAACATTGCTCAAAATCATAAAACTTAAGAATGTCTTTCATTTTGTGAACATATAGTACATGAGTGCAGTTATTCGGATGAAAGCTATAAAAGAAAGTAGAAAGCT